GGCGGCGGCGCTGAGCCCGCCCAATTCACGCCCTTCCCCGGCCTCCTCCTCCGCCGCCGCCTCCGCCTCGAGGATGCTGAAGATGAAGCTGCCGGCGAAGCAGCCGCCGCCGCCGCGGCAAACGACGAGCCGCAAAAGGGCGGAGGAGGGAGAAGAAGGAGGAGACGGAGCGGCCGCCGGAATCCCAGTCGGGCCTCGCGGCGGAGGCCTCGCCAATCGCCCGCCTCGCGTCGAAGCCGGGCCCGGGGCTGCGATGATGGGGGCTCCGTCGGGTCTTTGCGGCTGCCTTTGCGGCTGCTCGTCCGGAGGCCCCCGCGAAGCCGTCTACGAGTGGTTCGGCCTGGCGCTGGGCTCGGCGCAGCGGCTGGAGTTCGCCGTCGGGCTGCTCGACCTGCTCAACCCGCTGGAGCTGCGCTTCCTGGGCTCCTGCCTGGAGGAGCTGGCCCGCAAAGACTACCACTGCCTGCGGGACTCGGAGGCCAAAGCTAACGGCGCCGGCACCGCCGCTTCTGGAACCGCCGACGCGGCCCCGGCCGGGAACAATCCCGGGGGCAGCCGGGAGCCGCCGCAGCCGCCGCCCCCGGCTTCTCCCCCCGGGGCTGCGGCCGCCGGCTCCCCGCCTCCGCCGGCCCCTCTCCTGGCGTTGGGCGGCAGCGACTTCCGCGACCCCGCGGTCCGCTCCAAGCTGATCGTCTACTTGGCCCTGCTGGGATCCGAGAACCGCGAGGCTGCCGGCCGCCTGCATCGCCTGCTGCCCCATGTGGATGCCATCTTGCAGAGCTGCCGGTCGCCCCTGGGAAGGAAGCGAGGGGGAGAAGAAGAAGAGGAGGAGGAGGAGGAAGGCGCCTTAGCAGGACCGGAGGCGGCAGCGGCGGCGGAGGGGGGCCTGGGGCTGGTGGCTCAGGAGGAGCTGCTGCTCCTTTTCACCATGGCTTCCCTGCACCCGGCCTTCTCCTTCCACCAGAGGGTCACGTTCAGGGAGCACTTGGAGCGGCTGCGGGGAGCCCTCTGCCGGGGTGAAGACGAGGTGGGGGCCTTCCCTTGCCGTGGGTCGAGGGTAAGGGCATCCCTTCCACATTGGCACCACTCTGCAGCCCTTCTCTTGNACTCCCATCCGGTCACATGGGTGGCAAGCCACTCCCACAAAGGAGGCCACACCCACAGAGTAGGTTCGAACAATTTTTGAAACCCACCACTGACGCACAGGCACATAAACACACATAGAAATAACATAAGAGGTAATAGACAACAGAAACACAGATTCAACATGTTGCCAGAAGAAAATATAAATACAACTTGCTGGTAGCCTTGGAAAAGGTTGGAGAAACTTTCAGAAGCTGTACTCTGCATAATTCCCCTACGTTCTAAAATTACTTGAATATTTATTTCTAACAATATCTATACACATTGTTTATAATCTACCCATAACATCATGGGGAATGATTCAACCTTGGATTTAAAGGGTATTGATTTGAAATATCTACTGTATATTAAACACCCAATATTTTGTACTTACACGTCTAACACAAATAAGCAAACTTTCATCTTTAACAATTCGTTCTTTCAAAAAAGGAGTTTTATATTGGAAAGGCAACATAAACATAGCAACAAAGTTCTTTCAGGTTTTATAATTTGTAATGACGGATCTAAAGTAATGGTTATTTCTCTTTTTTTAAAAATAGTTTTTATTACACATTTTTGCCTTTAAAAACGGAAAAAACGAGACAAAAAAAGGAAAACAAGAAAAACATAACAATATACAAAATAGTTACACAGCGTTCTGTATGGGGCGCATACATATTTAGCCTTTGTAGTTCTCCCATTGCCTTCCTATTGGTTTTAACCTCTGTAATAATGTAATAACAGTTGTACTAACAACTATGATGATATTAATTGTTCCTATCACCATTGTATTTACATTGTGGTCAATACTTTTAAGTTTGATAGTAATTAATAGTTTTGGTTAATGTTTATTCAGTACTAATTTAAACAAAAACAAAGACTTTTATTTCCTATTTTGGCTCCTGTTTTCTAGCCACTTATAAATTCTATTCCATATTTTATAAAAATCCGATTCTTCTCTTTCTTTTAACTCCATGGTCATTTTGTCCATCTCTGCACATTCAAGTAGCTTTCTAATAATTGTTTCTGTTCTATTCTACTCTATTCTAATTAAGTAATGATTATTTCACCAGCAATTTTTGATGAAGTTAATGGCAAAGCAGAATATAAGAAAGGAAATCTACTAGGAAAGCCAAGAAAACACATATTTACTTTTTCTAATTTATTCGAATACAAACAATGGATTGTATTTCCATCCATCGCAATAGACAGTACAGTATTCTACTGCTCATAATAGCAGATTTCTCTGTTCCTGTTTCTTTTTTTTTCTAGTGGGAAAAACCAAGTATTGTCTGTTTTGGTTACCTAAAAACAACAAGCTGATTGAATGTCTCCTAAATTTCACCAACTTCCTCCCTCTTCAGTACTTAGAAAGGCCAAGTCATAGGCTACTCTGACTGCAGGATAGAGCATCATCCCCTAATGGTCTTCTTAAGGAATTTGTTCTATCAGAATGCTATATAAAGTCCCCCTACCGTTAAAAATCTCAAGAGTGGAGAGACACGTTGCATTATTTCATCCTCTTCTGTGCAGCTTCTAGAGATCTACTGCACTCTTGGGGGAGGTGGGGGAATCATTTCTCTATTTATACATGGTGTATATCGTATGTGGTATTTTCAACTACATTGACCAGAAGGAGGCACCCTTGACTGGTTTGGTCCTTATTGAAAAGAAACTTTCAATCTTTCAAACTTTCAACTCTAGAGAGTTTGAAACCAATAGAATAAGATCTGGTTACTGGATCTAAGGAATCCTAAT